TAATCAATTCAGATTGTTTTTAAAATTCAAGTTTTGTTGAAACCAATTAAATTTTGGAAAAATAATAATCTATATATATTCTTCATATGGTAACTTCTTATTATGAATCCTTAAATATGGAATTGCATGATACTAAGCATATTATTCTTTGAGGATATTAAGTTTGGGGGAAAAATAAAGATTAGAGGAAGAATCGTTAGAAGTGATCTGATCTGATTCGTAAAGTTCAAAACCTCTAGTAAGTTTAGAACCTATATAAGAACAAACTCAAGATCCTCAGAAACATGTGTTTCACGAGGGGGGATTCTCAAGTTACTAAGGGAGACGAGTTTAGTCTCAATCAATGCCCAAAAGGAAATTTAGAAATTCAAGAAATGCAGAAGATTCACCTTGTTTCAATGGTAAGGAGTCTCTGATGTATGTCCAGAAATGTATGCATCCGAATATAGCATATATAGCATCCGGATTTAAGCTATTCATGAATGGATCTTTAAAAAGCAGCCAATATAGTTATGAGGTTTTTTCAAGAGAACAAAGGTTTATAAGCTCACGTATAGAGGGTCAGACCAGTAAGAGATCATCAAGTATTCTGACAATTTTGTAGGATGCCAAGATAGTTTAAGATCCACTTCAGGTTACATTTTCATGCTAGCTAGTGGTGTTGTTTCTTGTCCAGTACCAAGCAAACCCTTATGACTTTATCCACTATGATTGCAGAATTTGTAGCTTCTTATAAGGCATCAAATCAGGGTATTTGACTGATTTTTGTCACAGGGCTGCATATTATGAAAGGAATTGAAAGACCACTCAGGTTATACTATGACGTTAAATCAGTTATTAAAGAAAGAGTACAAAGTGGATGGATTTCCATAGAACACTTAGGGACAAACTCCTTGATGATTTATCCTCTTAATAAGGCAATTACACCCAAGGTCTTTCATGACCATATTGCTTATATGGGTGTTTTATAGTTTAAGGAATCTTTGGTTCAGTGGGAGTTAGTCATCTTTGTGTGTTTGTGTTCTATGTTTGGTTTTCATGTATGCATACATTCTGGTTTATTATTCAGAAATTACACTTTGTATACTAAGGTTATTGTATTGATCTCATTGAGATAAAGTTAGGACCGCTTGAAAATAGACGTGTATAGGTCACTTTCACGTAATTTTCATGCTACACATTTCATGGTATATCCATGTCATTTGGTTTTGTCAACATTAGTGATCATTGTTGGGTTTAGTTGCGATTGTTGCAATTAAAACTGCTTTGGTTCTACATGCGAATATAATCAATGGACGAGACTTTTGAATATACTCAAGGTATATATATATTTGTGACCAGTGGGAGGTTGTTAGCAATTTGGGTCACTTATATATATATATATATATATATATATATATATATATATATGTATGTATATATATAACAATTATTAAATGTGTTATGGTCATTATAATTTATTAGCCAACTTTATAAAGTGATCTAATTAAGATAAATATGGCTAAGGGTATATTTGTCATGAAAGAATATTGTGTAGAGACCAACAATAATTATAATTTGTTGAAGGGGCCAAATTATAATTATTGAAACTAAAGAATATTAACCGTCAGAGGTTTTTAAAGGGTCATGGTCCCCATCTGTGAGCACAACGATTCATTCCTGTTTCTTTTTCTTTATCCCCATCAGAAGAGAAAATATAGAGGGAACTAAAGGTGCTCTATAGAGGGAAGATCAGAGATCAACTCAGGTTATTTTATCATTGTTCTCAATGTCTAATTCAGATACGCTTCCGCTTTATTGCTTTAAGGTATTGGGGACTGTTTTGATTAAAGGGTTTATTGCTCATTAATAATTATCTGTCAATCATAAATTCTAACATATGGATCTATAAAATTTTACTTTTATGTTATGAACACATATATTAACATCATTAGTATAATTGTCATGTTCTTCCACTTACATCCTTTGACGATTGTGTAGATAATGTGAGCATATAACAACCAATGGCGTTGAACTTTATATATTAATGATAATGTCATCGCATAATAAAATAAATGATAAATATTTAATTGCAACAAATAATATTGTATGTGAAAGGTATTTAGGATCTACAACAAAACAAAAATCACTTATTATTTATTTTGTTATTAATTAGATATATTTGTTTAAAAAAAATTTAGATATTTTAATATGTAAATACCCTACATATTTAAAAATATATTTTATAAATTTTTAAAATAAAATATAAATAAAATTAAAAAAATAAATATAATAAATATTAAATTAAATATAAATTAAATTTAATTAACTTATGAAAATATAAGTTAATTTTATGGTTTAATGTCTCGGTAGGTCTTTATTTTGGTTTGGAATCTCAAATAGGTCCCCTTTCTTTTCGGCGTCTCAGTTGAGTCTTTGTTTTTGTAAAATGTCGTCAAATTGGACAAACGGCCGTTTAAGTTTGGATTACGTGACGTGGTCAGTGCATTCACTAATCACACATGACATTAAAAAGGAGTTTGAATTGACTTTTGTATTAAAAAATGGATTGCACAAAGGTCAAATCAGATGTACTCAAGGGCAAACTGGGCAAACCCCTTTTCTTCTTCGATTGGAAGTGCGGGGAGGGGGAAACCCCTTTTCTTCTTCAGAACCCTAAAATCCTAAGAGATATGCACAAAAAGGGAAAGAGAGAAATGCCTCTTCCTTCAACCTCCAACGCAGAGAAAACAAAATTGTTGTTTTCTAGTCACGAAGGAATGGAAAAGTTCACAACTCCTACCTAGTTGCTTGTTCTGAGAAACTCTAGTATGACTGCCTCTGTTGCAGCACATGCAGATCTCCTCCTAGACAATACTCCATAACTAAGCAAGAGAGCTTATCTGTTGCAATATAGGAGTACATAGTGGGAAGAAATGGATGGTCCAGCATCCGAAGGATCTTTCTCAGTTTGGGCCCTGAACATTTTCTTCCGACTCGACAAAAATTCATTATCCATCACTTTGAGCGCAAAATTGGCCATGAAAATCATGCACTCCAAAGCAAGTTTTGTGCATGCTGCAGCTGTTGCAAGGTCATGTCCAGAGCTAGTGGCGGTGACCACACTTTTGCAACCCATTCGTTTAGCAATCATGGCTTGAGCAAGAGCGTTGTTCATCTTGTGAGAGCCACCGTGGTTGAGATCTTCTCTCTTTAAGTATATATCAGGCCCTTTCCCGTTGTTGATACTCTTATAATACTCAGACAATCGCTCTGCGTGATATAGAGGTGTTTCTCTCCCAACATAGTCTCTTAACGCCTCCGCTAGCTCTGCCTATGGGAACAACCATTTAAACTTTTAATTAATGGCTTTCAATTGTTCTATACTAACATCAAGCAATTATTAACGGTGAATTTGATGAATTTAGGTAATTAATTAACCTAAAAGGCATCGTCGGCCATGGATTTTTTGAACTCAGCTTCGAGGTGGGTCAAAAAGGCTACAATTGTTTCAGGAAATTAATTAACCTGAAACCCAATTTTTCCCCCAATCTCATTTGCATTTCTCAATTAAAGGGGGCTACCCTTCAATTTTGTTTTATTTTTCCCACTTTGCCCTTCCCTAAAGTTGATAGAAACTACCACAAGCGCATGACCCGCCATTACTCGACATTCATATTATATCTGGTTGGTCAAGTCTAGGTTCATTTGCATGATTAGGATGTTTGATTACTTAACTTGAAATGTGATGTATGATGGAACCTTAAATACTCTATTATTTTTGTTTAAAATAACTTACCATTTTGTATGTTTTTGTGTTTGGTTGTTGTGTATGTTTGATTCTTGGACGATGATCATCTGATAGGTGTGACCAAAGGAAGATGGCATGTTTGTGGAGCAGACTTTTGGTGGAGATGACACAAATATATGGAGGCTTTAGTTTATATAGTTGTTTATATTTTCCTTTAGTTGTTTTAAAGAACCAATTTTGTACGTAGTTTTGAGCTTAGTACCTTATATAAAAAGTTTGATTTTATAGTTATATTTACATAACTGTTATTAGACTTTATATTTTTCCTGTCTGGTATGCTTAATATATATTATGACTCTTGAGACTACGAGATCATATATCTTATCACATATAAAGGGAAACACCCAATAAAGATAACATATCCATAAAAGATCACACCATGAATGATAACATATCATTAAAATTTCACATACAACATACAGGAGAATGCATGTCATACAAATGGATTGCACCTTATCCTCAATAATAATACCATAGAGACATCTCAATCACATATATAAATATATAATATCTCATATTCATCAACTTTACCATTATATAAATATTGTTTGAACAAGCATCAAGTAAACAGCCTTGCTTTTTAAAATTAAGAAAGATTTTCTTGCTTGAGTAATTTCACAACGTTGAAGTAAAATAATTCCAAATATAATAATTGGTTCTCCTTCTTTCATGTTAGCACTTGTGATATTGAGTGATGCATACAATAATGAACACGGTTTCGATATGGTTGGAGAAATAGTTCACCCTTATAATAACTTAAAAAATACATTTCCAATAAAATAAACTCACACTAGTGCAAAATCGGTATTTTAAATCGTCCATTACGCTTCGGTTTTCGAAAAACCGAAACATATTAAAACACGGTGGCAATGTTGTAATATTTAAGACACCATATGCCTTGGTTTTAAGACAACCGCTATACAAGGAGTATACTGCCTCGGTTACTCAAGAGACTGAGGTAGAAAACGCTTCTGTATGCCACGGTTTTAAGACAACCGCTTTTCAAGGAGTATACTGACTCGGTTACTCAGGAGACTGAGGTAGAAAACGTTGCTATATGCCTCGGTTCTAAGAAAACGCTGCTGAGTCACCCACTCATTCGCACCATCGTCCTTCCACTACACAATTACTCCAAATTCTCTCCCTTCCCTCTCCGTTCATGAATCTCCTCCACCTCCGCGACTCCAAATTCTCTCCCTTCCATCTCCGTTCACGAATCTCCTCCACCTTCGTGACTCCATATTCTCTTCCTTCTCTCTCCGTTCAAGAATGTCCTCCACCTCCGCGTACTAGAACACAACCCCTTCCAAAACCATAACCACTCCCTCAAGCCGAATCTTGCGCCCGATTGAAACGGATTTCCCTTCGGCTTCGCCTTCAGAATCTCCTGCGTCAGATCCAACGCCGTTCTTCCACGCTCATCCGCCACCTCACGATTCGCGCCCAGATCCAGCATCACCTTCGCAACACCAGGCCGCACGTACCTCGCCGCCATGTGCAGCGTAGCGAGAACACCGCTGCGGTCGCGGTGGTCTAGGTTCGCATCGGCTTCCGCCAGCAGCTTCGCGCACAATTCCAAGCCATGTCTGGCTACGAAGAAGAGCGCATTACGACATTCGGCGTCCTCGGTGTCCACAGCGTCGACATAAAAAAAATAGGGGGCAAAATTCTATTGCCTCGGTCAATTATTTTTAAGGGTTTNCAAATTCTCTCCCTTCCCTCTCCGTTCATGAATCTCCTCCACCTCCGCGACTCCAAATTCTCTCCCTTCCATCTCCGTTCACGAATCTCCTCCACCTTCGTGACTCCATATTCTCTTCCTTCTCTCTCCGTTCAAGAATGTCCTCCACCTCCGCGTACTAGAACACAACCCCTTCCAAAACCATAACCACTCCCTCAAGCCGAATCTTGCGCCCGATTGAAACGGATTTCCCTTCGGCTTCGCCTTCAGAATCTCCTGCGTCAGATCCAACGCCGTTCTTCCACGCTCATCCGCCACCTCACGATTCGCGCCCAGATCCAGCATCACCTTCGCAACACCAGGCCGCACGTACCTCGCCGCCATGTGCAGCGTAGCGAGAACACCGCTGCGGTCGCGGTGGTCTAGGTTCGCATCGGCTTCCGCCAGCAGCTTCGCGCACAATTCCAAGCCATGTCTGGCTACGAAGAAGAGCGCATTACGACATTCGGCGTCCTCGGTGTCCACAGCGTCGACATAAAAAAAATAGGGGGCAAAATTCTATTGCCTCGGTCAATTATTTTTAAGGGTTTACGACCTCGGTTCAAACCAGAACTGAGGCAATAGACCTATTTATATTTATTTTTATTTTTGCTTTACTGCTTCGGATTTTTTGAACCGAGTCCAAAAGTCCAAACTTTTTACCTCGTTTGAATATATCACGGTTCTGTAACCGCAGTCATAGACCCAAAACAACCAAGGCAATATCCCTTGGTTGTACTAGTGTCATAATTAATCAATTGAAACTAATATTAAATACTCATTTCTTCTTACATCTATACCAACAATAAATATCATATTTACTTATGTAATTGTAATTACATTTAAATTTTAATCTAAAGATATATTTTAAAGTTCCAACCACTAAATAACACATTGATATTCATAATTTAGTAAACACAGTTAGACTTCCCACCTTGCATTTCATATATCTAATTCAACATATATCTAATATACTATTTAAACTACATTTTTTTAACTAAGGTCATATAGGCTTTTATACATACTTTCAAAACCCTTGTTAAAATTACAATAATTGTCAAAACTCATGATGACAATAACTTCTAACAAAATATTCAATGAGAAAGAAACGAAAAGAAATCCTTAGTATAAAATTAGTTATTTTCTAGATCAAGAATACGAAGACTCAACTTTATTAGCATGTAATTACGTTCGAAAGGTTGAATTATATAAATAATATCTTAATTATTTTCTAAATCTAAAAAGACAAAATGTTTTAAAAAAATAATTCAGATAAATAAAAGTTTAAATAAAATAAATAATAACACTTATAACTTATTTATAATTTTTTTATTTATTTGAAATTTAATTTTACTAAAATCTCAAAACTTATAATTATGCGTGATGTAACATCCCAATTAAATAGTCTAATATACTATTTAGGAAATATCACAAGTCCAATCAGATAAACAGTTAACCAGACAAGAAAAATATAAAGTCTAATCACAATTATGTAAACATAACTATAAAATAAAACTTTGTATATAAGGTACTAAGCTCAAAACTATGTACAAAATTGGTTCTTTAAAACAACTAAAGGAAAATATACACAACTATATAAACTAAAGCCTCCATACATTTGTGTCGTCTCCACCTAAAGTTTGCTCCACAAACACGAAATCTTCCTTTAGTCACACCCACCAGATGATCATCGCCCAAGAATCAAACATACACAGCAGCCAAACACAAAAACATACAAAATAGTAAGTTATTTTCAATAGAAATAAACATGGAGTATTTAAGGTTCCATCATACATCACATTTCAAGTTAAGTAATCAAACATCCTAATCATGCAAATGAACCTAGATTTGACCAACCAGATCTAATATGAATGTCGAGTAATGGAGGGTCATGTGCTTGTGGTGGTCTCTATTGCTCTGGAAAGTCATTGTCAATGGGTTTCATTCTACCACAAACACACAATTGGTCTATTTCACGTCTTAGGTCGTACTAGAGCATTTAGACTAAAACATCCTTCTACTCTCACCACATACATCGCTTCTTTCTACTTGAGAATGAATGATCATTAGATTGTTAGGATAACCCCCAAGACAAAGCTTCCTACATTCGTACCAACAACACTTTGATACAACTAATAAGAATTCTTCTTATAACACTTATAAACCTCAATTTCATACCATCATATGTTTCAAACCATATCATAGAGTATTAGATAATACATTATACCATTTAAATCCAAACATAATAGAGAAGATTAATTACAACAACCAAGAAAACCCAGACCCATTTGCTCTGCACCAAAATCATGGCGCTCAACAAGCACAGGCTCGCCTAGGGAACAAACCTTGTTTCCCAACGAGAGCGAAAACAGAGAGCTCCACCAGCCTAGTGAGCTGCTCGCTTTACCACTGAAACCCACTGCCAAAACACCCTAAATACTCGCCCAACGAGCCACTTGCTTGCCCAACCACTCTGCATAATTCTACAGACCACCAATTTTACACAATTTGCATCCTCTCAAACTCACATGCCATATCCTATGTACTTTCTACCAATTTCTACAACTTTTATTTGGTATTCTAAGCTACAATAGACCTAACTAATCATATATTGTTAGCATAACGCTGAAGAGCAGAAATTTTGATGATGTCTTAAAATCAAGTCTCAAGTGCTCTTATTGTAGGAAGATCTTCATGAAGACTTGTTTTTATATTAAAGCTTGTATAATTTAGTAGATTGATGTATATGATGTGGTTTATCTTTGATATTGTGTATTTTTTGTCTTAGGTTGCGTTAAAATTTGTTTTGAATTAGAAAACCTCAATTTATACTCAAGATAATCGATTATCAATTTATAATAATCAATTATTAGTAATCAATTATGACTTGCCATAATTGATTATCACGAGCAATTATGATTGAGTGTTGTTGTTGTTGGCATAGAGCGAGAACTTTCACAGGGAGTGTGATTGAGTGTTGTTGTTGTTGGCATAGAGCGAGAACTTTCACAGGGAGTGTGATTGAGTGTTGTTGTTGTTGGCATAAAGTGAGAAGGCCTCACAGGGAGTGTGATTGAATGTTGTTGTTGTTGCTAAGTTGAAAGTCTGTCATATTCGTGAAGCATTCAGAGGAGGTGTTCATCCTTTGTGAAGATTCAGAGGAGGTGTTCATCTCTTGGGGTAACAAGAGAGGTGTTTTAACCTTAAACTGTTTTATTTTCTTTGTGACTGTAACAATTTATTGGTTTGTGCTAATGAAACGTTAATTCTAAGTTGAGATTAACAAATGGATGTAGGATCTGTTTGATCCGAACCAGGATAAAAATTACCTATGCAATTTTCTCTCTTCCTTACTCTTTTAATTTGTTTAAATTATTTTAAAGAATTTATATTTACTTGAGAAAATTATTAAAAGAACGATTTGCGATAAGAAACCAATTCAGCCCCCTCTTGGTTTATTGAACGAGTTAACCATTATGATGCACCGCTTTGACATATATAATCCAATTCAAACCAAGTTTAAGTCATTTCATCAAAACCAACTAAACACTCCTTTATAGAATTTTAACACCTAACTTAGCTACTTAGGCGTATGAGCAAGTCACAAATGACTCAAAGACAAATCCCAAATACTCTAATTTGCCTGACACCTTCAAAACAAAAACTCATTCTTCATAACCACTAAAATGCACCTAAAAGTCATAAAAACACAACCTATTATATATTATACATTTATAAACCATTTTTCTGTTAACTCACCACCCAAACAAGTCCCAACCATGTTCAATCATTCAAACACGCTTACTATTAAATACTTTTATTTCAAGCATAAAAATCAACACACATTCAACAACAAACTATTAACTACCAGTTCATAATTCATAATTCAAATTAAAAGCAAACACTAACTTTTCTTACCTTAATAGGAATGCTACCATGCTTTACATAGTGTTCTACCATTGCTTCAAGTCAAGGAAGAAACACTTACACACCACAAAATTGTGATCTAAGTGAGTTCTTAGGATCTTTGATCAACAAAGAATTGAAAAAGAGAAACGGACGACACATGCGAAAAAAGTCTAGTTACATGTGTCTTAAACTACAAATTAAAGAAAAAAGCATAGAAATTTACTTGTTCTAGAATGAAAAATAATCAGATCATGATGAAGATTACACTGTCATGATCTCCTAGACGATTACTGATCGTCAAACAATTCTAGAAAGATAATGAATATTTTAAATAATGAGAAAAATTTATAAAATTCTATTTATATTATTAAATTATTTTAATATTAAAATATTCAATCTCATTATTTTATAATACTTATCAACTTTTAATACTTAAAATTTTTAGGTTTTACGGAATATAAATTTATCTTTTTCATATAATAAGCTAATGCGTCGTGTGAGGTATTCTTCACAAGTATTCAAATAGATAATTAGTTATTTACACAATTATTTCTTCTGATAATATCATATATATGTATATATAATTTCTTTTTCTTTCCCCACCACACCGAAAGTCTCTGAATAGAAAATTCCAAATGAATTGGGCACTTGCAGATGTGGTATAATAAATGTAACATTTAATGGAGACTATTACAACGTCTCTTTTTCACGTTTAAATGAAAATGTCTACGAGTAAAAGGCTTTTAAATCAGCACTTATCCGACACTAAGTCCTTGGGACAATTTCTAGAAAATCTAACTAAAATCACAATTAATACCCACCCAACTACTGCTTCTAAGAATGGAATACATTGATTGTTCTTAAGCAAGTTAACACTATTTTTATACTCATTGAGATAATGAAATTATTTTAATAAATCTTATATTTATTATTATTTTTCATTTATATTAAAAAATTAAAAATAGAGTAATTCCAAAGAGAGAGGGAGAGAAAGCGTACACTTTAATTGACAAATTAGTTAAGAAAATTTCCTTCACGTGATACGAGGATTTGACTAATTATTGTTACAGTCAGCACAAATTTGTTTTATTTAAAAACGCTGTGTACACACCGAAATTTTGGTTATTTCATTTAAGAACACTCCGTATAACTTCATTCATTTTCGTAATTTAAACTTGGAAAAATTAAAATCTTAATCTTCTAAACTTAATTTATTCTTCTAACCTTTCCTAATTCAATTTAATTTTCCAAATTTAGTTTGGGTTTTAGTTTTGGTCATCCACCTTTTTTTTTTTCATTTACTTTGTCTTTAAGTTTTCTATTGACAAAGTTCTCCCTACATTTCACCGTCTTCGTCCTTTTATTGATTCAGAAAAAGATTCCGCGTTTCCATTGACTTGAGAGTACGATAAAAATGCTTAACAATGACAGATAGC